CGCATAACAATACGGTATGTACCGCGAGAAGAAGACTGCATGCGTATTTTTAAATTATTAAGTTACATGCTCGCGAACCAGCCAGCCACTGGCCTAAATTGGTAATGATTTCGTTTTAGATAAAACCACGGTTTTTTATCCATGGTGTATATACGAGTATACGTATTACTAAGTCTTGGGAATTAATTTCTATTAAAACTGTAGTTGGTTTCGGAAGAATAACAACAAACCGATGAACCAAGCTGAGAAATAAAGGATAACAGTACAAACTTATTTAATTAATGTGAACGAGAATTAGATTATATCGACTATATAACAAAACGTTATTTTCGTCGAAATTAAAAGTAATGCAAATAAAATTTCTCTTCGTGATGATTCGTACACTCAACCGCCTCAAAAAAATATTTTGTTTAAAATATTATAATTCGAGTATAAAAAATTTCCTATTCACGTAACGGTATGCGTTATACAAAACTTTCCATGCATGTGTTTATATTTTATCGGTGACTAAAACCTGTTTTAAATATATTTTGAGATCATTTGTAATAATTAGATTATCTGTAAACAAAAATAACGTGTTTTAATTGCCGAAATATTTGTTAACAATACACTATTTATTCTTGTCATCAATAAAGACTCGATTAGCATCAACGCTCTTCAATCGAAATATTTAAATGTTAAATAAATAACATAAAATGTGCTATACTCTTCTCCGTTGTGTATCGCGAGGTACAACTCATCGCACGGATATGTAAAACTGTACGTAAAATAATACATAATGGAAGGATAGAAGAAATCATTCGAAAATTTGATTGTTAATACAATATAATATACTCGAAAGTTTTTTCCTTAATCCTAAACTGATTGATAACGTTCGCTTAGGTCAAAAGCATATAAATTCAGTATTACTGTTAATACTATCGCAATGTTTTAATGATGCGCGTGAATTCACCGGAAAAATAAATCGTTTTAATCAGTTTCGCGAATCGCATTATTATCATGTATGCAATAACGTATTGTATATGTCGACAAACGTAATAATATACACCAAAACGGTTTTAATACTGCAGCATACGCCTAATACGTAATGCATGTAGCAGGGATGTACGTCATTTGTAAAACTGTATCGTTCTTAAAAATAATAATTACTCGATAAAACGTTGCAAAAATATCGTACATTCATGACCCCATACTAAATACATCGAATTAATATAATTTGTGGAACGTAAAAAAACTTTATTTTTGTAATTATAACAATACGCATAATAAAATATAATAAAATAAATCTACTCCTTAATCTATGCTTGTGATATAGTATAAAGTTTCTTTCTAACAATCAAAAATACTAATTAAAAATTATTTTTCACTCTCTGGTCCGCCACGATCCCGAAAGGGTTACGAGAACTGACGCTCTGAGAGTTTCTCGATGTCGCCCGTTACCAGTGGGGGTTCCCTGTGGTGAGATTAAAAACTGCCGGGTACGACGTGTTCGATGGCAAGTCTTATTATACCGGACTTGTGCAATATCGTATTCATCGTGTACACGTCAAAACGTCATACAATTTTCGTTTCCATCCACCCGGAACTGCACGCTGTGCTCGGGCAGTAAAAAATAAAAAATAATTGAAAACGTCAACCCGATGAGACGCTCGACGTTCCCATTAGCCGAGACACGACATATACGTATGCGATACGCATACACGCCGTTATATACCAGTCTCGACCCGCATAAATCATTCGGGGAGTTTTTCGTTTTCATCCCCTCAGTTCCTTCCGACTGTCCAATCTCGGACCGACGGAAATGTAATCAAACGTCCGCCATCATCGAAAACCAATAAATCTCTATCTCGCGTGTGTGTACGAATGTAGTTTTTCCCCACTGTACTACACACGTTGTTGCACTGCTTTCGTCCGGTGTCCCGCACCCTCTCAGTGGTCCAAAAGAGTCGCCTAGATCGACCACGACCGGGGCTAGCTGTGTCTTCTCCTTTTCGAATCTTTTATTCACGGATTTCTCGCAACGACCGCACGATTATTTGCCGCCTTTGTTTCTTACATACATCGCATTTTGGTCTTGTGCTGTAGAACAGTAAACAAGATTCGGTACACAAAACAATAATTTGATAGAACTCTTGATTTTTTGAAGGGCTGCGATAACAACAGCTATGAACAAATAGAGAACGAAGTCGAAAAATTGGATTTATTTAACTTTGTATGTAAATAACTAATATATGTTTTCTCGGTCGAAATTAACGATTTTTCAGTGTTAGTATTAAATTATCTTTCAATTTGATAGGAAGTGAGTTTGAACCCTTAAGACTCTCTTTTATTATACGCCCATGGAGGATTGAATCAATGTTTCTCGAACACGTCTATGTGAGTTAGTGTCATAATATCGTTCAGTCCGATCTTCGGCTGTCCTTGTTCTTCGTGTACACATCTCAATTCCCTTTACCCGACTAGTGCCGAAAACTTGACACCAACTACAGAAACGCTTGGCTATCATCTGAATTATGCATATAAAATAGTTTTTAGTGGCGAATCCACTATAAGTTAACCTTCTTTGTTTAGACAAAAACTATTGGCATTATACCTTCCTTCGTAGATATTATAAAAAAAATTCCGGTGATAAAATATAAATTAATTAAAAAAAAAATTTAATACCTCGATTATTTTTCTTATTAATTCATCTCTATTATTAATAAACATTCGCTACAAGCAGTCAACAGATATCAAGGATAAAACAAAACCATACGGTCTTCGAGGGAGCATAATGTTGTGCCTCGAGAGTAAATCTACCGTTTGGATATTGCCTATCCTGAGATTCACGTCCAATCCTAATAACACCACATTTATCACTACAGTATTCCAAGTCGGCTCCCACACGATATATAACAGGAAGTAATCGGAAGTTCTGACCCTTTTAGGATATTGCATTTGCCAGATATTGTTTTGTTGTGTCCTATGTGATGCTGTATAATATAAATTATAAATCTAATATAATGTTGGAATATTTATCATTCTAATATAATATAAATGCGTTTTCGTGGATATTTTATTTGACTTTATCCATTATGTCTATCACAAATATATAAATAATAATATAAAACTGTCGGTTTGTCCATCAATCCGTTACGATGATAAAATAATAATTTATAAACCACAGACATTTACCAAATTATTATAGCTTTTTTTTCTAATTTAAACTAATCATAATTATATAATCGGGTTAATTTATACTTAATATCTGTCTGTTAAAAAATTAAAAAACAAAATTCATAAATAGGGTTTTAAGAAAAAATTTATAACAGAACAAGCGTTTTTTTTATAACATGATTTAGAACCGAGACCAGAAAAAAAAAAAAATAATAATCGAAAAACTTAAATTAATTCTGCGAACAACCGATAAAATACAAAAAGTATTTTTAAAATTTTGTCTAGACGAAAGCGTATGGTTTTATTTTTCTAACCGATATGGCATCAAAAATTGAAATACATAATCCCTAGACTATCGGTGGTCGCATGTCCGCCGATCATGATATACCAGCTGATCTCTTCGTACGAACAGAGAGGGGTGATCATACAGCGATCGTGCGACTCGGTCGAAATCAACTATACCGCGACGAGCTATTACATCAAACGGGTTTCTTATTTTTCAACGTGATCACGTTTAAAAACGTGTGTCGATTGCCACGAACTTAGGATATCGAACCGACACCCCACACTGCTCCTCTCACAAAACGCGTACGTTAGTAATGACGAGTAGAAAAAAAAAACTAAATAATGGATCTTTTCCATTCATTCATTACCACTCGATAAATGTTCTATTGCTCTAAAAATTATATCTTATCTTATCTAATCTAAATAAATAAAAAAAATTAAACTCATAGTTTAATGACGAAGGAATATTAACCCGAAGGAAGTTTTGATCTTTTATCGTAACGAAAATTGTTTGCATTTTTTTTTCAAAAAAACGGAATTTTAATTTTAAAAATTTTAGGACTTCACTCGTTAGGTTATATTAACTGCGTGGCACTTTTCAGCCCAAGGGGAATTATAGTGTAAGCCTAACCTAGTTTTTGTACAAACCCTGATACCGTTGAAAATGAGATTATCCTTTGTACGTGAACCTAAAATCTCGGTGCACGAGTAAATCACACATATATAGACTAAAAATACAAGGAAATATACTATAACCAAGGCTGGGCAAGATACAAGATACATTTATAGTTCGTATCTAAATATAAGATATAAGATACTTCGATTTTTAAAGATACTAGATACAAGATGCAGGTAGCTGAGATACATATAAGATACAAAATACTTTATACATTTATTAATATTTATTTGTTTGTTTATTCAATTACACTAGGTACAGTAAAAAATAATATAAATTACAATTTTTATTTATTAACTTTATATGTTTAAATTTAAAAAAATTATATGTAGTACTATAGTAAAAGTTCTGCCGATAAACTGGATTTATGTAACTTACTGATTACAAAATTTGCTCATAATAAAGATTAAATTAAATGTAATCTTTATTGTGAGCAAATATTTAATATATTGTTCATTTATCAAGGAAATGACTTCGACGTGAAAAACTAAATTATTAATAATTATTAATAATTATTATTACATAACACTATATTGTATCTAGTATCTTTAATCATAAAAAAATACTAGATACAAGTCAAAAAAGTATTTAAATCCACGACACAAGATACAAGATACAATCGTATCTCAGATAAGTATCTTAAATACTAGTATCTAAGATACTGCCCAGTCCTGACTATAACTAACCGATAACTCGCAAAGTTATCATTTTATAACACTCGATAACTTAGATACCGTTGGAAAAAATAAAAAAAAAAATAAAATAAAAATAAAATGGTTGTGTCGAATGTACTCGGAAAAGGTCCGAAATAATAACGGTAATTTATAGACCAGCTCGGCGCTATATGCAAACCGTAATCAACCGTAAATGCGTTCTGTTGCAGCTCGGTACACGTGCACGGACTGCGGCAAGCACTACGCGACGTCTTCGAACCTGTCGCGGCACAAGCAGACGCACCGGAGCCTGGACTCGCAGTCGGCGAAGCGGTGCAACGTGTGCGGCAAGGCGTACGTGAGCATGCCCGCGCTCGCCATGCACCTGCTCACGCACAAGCTGTCGCACGCGTGCGGCGTGTGCGGCAAGATGTTTAGCCGGCCGTGGCTGCTGCAGGGACACCTGCGGTCGCACACCGGCGAGAAGCCGTACACGTGCGCGCAGTGCGGCAAAGCGTTCGCGGACCGGTCCAACCTGCGCGCGCACATGATGACCCATTCCGGGGACAAGAACTTCGCGTGCCACTGGTGCCGCAAGTCGTTCGCGCTCAAGTCGTACCTGAACAAGCACCTGGAGGCCGGTTGCGCGCCAGCCACCACTACCTCCAACGCTGCGGCCACCACCGCCACCGCTTCGGCCACCACCGCGGCCACCAAGACCGCGACCGCCACCGCCGCGACCAAGTCGTCTTCGTCCTCGTCGTCCTCGTCGTCCACGTCGTCCGCGTCGTCGTCGTCGTCGTCGTTGTCCTCTTCGTCCTCGTCGTCCTCGTCGTCCTCGTCCTCGTCGTCGTCCTCGTCGTCGTTCGCGGACGAATACGGTACCGACGACGAATAACGTTACGCGGCGCAGCAGATGACCACCCGGCGAACGTCAGTTATCCGTTTCGCCGCCGTGGCCGCTGCCGCAGCCGTTCGCTCGTCGTCGCCGTCGTCGTCGCCGTTGTAGGGCCACCGTCGACCCGTGACGGGGACGGGTTTTCCCTCGTCTCCACTGTTCCCCCTACCCCATCCCGTTTCCGGTGCTTTGCTGTTTCACCCCACGCCCTGTACGGACGTGCGAACCCGTCGGCGAAGAGATTTTCGGACGGCGACAGGAACGACCGGTGCCCTATCGAAAAACGTAAGGATTTTTTCTGTACCCCCCCCCTCCAATTTCCATTGCCCAAAACCAGACATGGAACAGACAACTGTGACACCAATATTATAATTATGTACGCCATACGTATAACATGTACGTATATCATACATTTTACCGCACGGGCATACAAATTACACGTATTTATAAGATAACATTACATTATATAGTTTTCGATCTACGCATACATAATTATAAACTTTTAGAGTTAAGTTTTATCGTAAAATTAGTTTTTAAGCGTATTTTTTATTAGACCATCGGACACCTGTTAGGTGTACGTGTAGTAACGTAAGAAGATGCAATATTATTATTAATTATTTTAACTATTAGGTGTATATATAACAATATTCTTATCGAACGCAGTGCCTAGAAATACTTACCGGTAGTGTGTATACAAACAAGCAATATTAGAGGGGGATCCGCCGCGACAAGCGTTACGGTTCGTCAACATAATATATTATTATTACGTAAAATATTTATATTTTTAGAGAAACATTTGATCTTTATGTTTTTTCGGGTCCATTTTATCACGATACCATTAGATAATCATAATTGTTTTCTATTTCTCTCCGTGCAAATCGGCAGTGAACTTTCATTCCATTATGATTTCGATTTCTTATTATACATAGCCAACGCGACTAGTATAATACGTTGAATAGAAATAATGAACAAAACACAAATAGTTACGCAGCTTTTTTCGGTCTCTCTTTCTGGACATTAACTATTCGATTCTTTGATAAAAATTTTAACAGTATTACTACTTAGTTTATATTTTCAGGAAATCATTTGCTCAATAACACGGTGTAATCAAATTACGTAACCCAAAATATGTTTTTATACGCTCGAAAATCGTTCAAAACCCATACATGCTTAACAGCTGAAATCCGAAGTACTTCCGTTTTACACGCGTATCAGATTATTTTTTTTTTTTTGTAAAAATGTTTTTAGTTTTTTCGTATCCAAGAAAAATTTCCATTTTCGATCGTTTTGAATTTTATTATAATTATTTAACTTTTTGGGTATCAATTTCACAAACCAATACAAATTAATTACGTACAAATATTTTATTAGGGTATCTCATATTTTTATTATTATTACTATAATTTGTACTATTATATTATTACGAAAATCAAAATAGGATTGAATAATATATTAGCAGGCTGTGATTTTCGATTTATACATGTGTATTTTAAACTGATGGTGTATTATCGAAATCGATATTTATTTTTACGAAAATTCATACCAAGAGAAAAAAAATTATCTCTGTAGCGAAAATTTACATTTTAGGGATATTGAGTACGATATAGAGAGTCTGAGTTTTATCGTTTTTTATTTAAATCTGACCAAAGGCTGAGTATTGAAATATAATTAAAAAATTCGTTTTTTTTTTATTTTTATTCAAATAAAACTCCCAAAACAAGTATATATATATATATATATTATATATACGTGGGTAGATAGTTATAGGTGGTAGATATCGAATTTATACGTAACGAGTTTATACAGCAATATTTTTTTAACCTTAAATTCAGTTGTGATATATTCAATAGTGGTAGCTATGAAAAAATGGAAAATGTTATCGCTTTGACGCTTAGGAAGTTTTTTCGTTTGGGTCAATGTTTGTTAAAACGTTAGACGGAATGCTGTGTCAAAGACAAGAAATAAAAAAATCAGCTTAGTTTAATATCACTCGCGTGAGCCAAAGAAAATGATATTTTTTCTCCACACACTGTTTAATCCTACTGTAGGTCACGTATAGGTACACTTATATTACACTTTAGTGGATGCTTATAAAACTAGAGTTAGTTAGAATTGCGCTTCGTCTCGTGTGTACCAAACGTTCCGATCTGTTTCTCAACCGCATCGTGTTCGTTTTTAATAGAAACATTTTTTTTTTTTAATATAATTTTTTGACACGCAATCACGTACATGTGCTATATGCGACGTCTTGTCGCCAGCGAATCCCTGTTGACCGCTAAAATTCTCACGAAATCCAATCAATACGGGCGTATCCTTCGGTTTCCATCCACGATAGCTGCTGCAATACGGATGACTGTATAATAATGATATACCATTCCCATGTCATGACTCGAGAACATACCGCGTCGAACAAAAAGAAAAACCGCAACCATCCTCATCGAACTGTATTTTTACGTCGGTCGATATTAAAAATACTTGTACACTGTGGACCGAACGGGAGATTTTATTTTTCCATATCAAAAAAAAAAAAAAAAAAAAACCGCTCCACACATTTCCATAATCCGACGACATTGATCATTTTATAATAACGAGATGATGTACCTATGTTATATATTGTATAGTCATGAGTCCGCAGATATTAGAAATTCGAAGCGAACGACCGACGTCGTCCTCCCTCTAGTTCGGGATGAAAAAAATGGCCCTGTCGGATTATTCGAAGATTTTCGTTTACACACTTTTTTTCCAAAATCGATATTTTGATATCAGTTTTTTAATATAATAGGGGTCCAAATCTTATTTTAAACATGCACACGTGGTAAAAATAATTAGTTTTTTCATTATTTCACTATGCATATACTTATGCACCGTTTAATAGTTTCAAGATTATATAATACTTAACGGGTATTGAACAAACAACTGTCTATAAATCGTTGTGCGTAGTATACACACGATTTTCATCTTTGTCGTGTGTCAACGTTGAATTCCATAGTGATACAAGGGACTTAAGTGCTATAATTTTCCGTTAGACTGTGCCTAGTCTGAGTCGATATTTCCTCGTGGTAAACCGTTGAAATAAATTAAAACACGAACGTATTACGACGGACTCGATAAAATGATTTTGTTTTTTTTCTAATTGTTATTTTGACTTTTAAATACGAAATCTGTTCGACCATAACCCCTCCCCCGTAAGCGACGTTCATCGTATGTCATTATTGTGATTGTAACCACTGTATTATTATTGGACACGTGGAAAACATCCAATACACGCGCGTCCCTGACCGACCAAACACGGAATCCGAAACAACCAGACGCGTTCGGAGGACACCACTTGCGGACATCATTGATGAATACACGCGACTCACGATCGGTTTACAGAGGCGTATTGCGTTTAGGTACGTACGAAAAATGAACGGAAAACCAAACGACGAAGCTCGTGCCCGCGGTCGTACCGCGTCTAAACGTTTCCCTTTACCATTATTTACATTATCCGGCGCGCAATGAAAATTCCATCGGTCGTTCTCCGTACAACTATTATCAACAATACGAGGCTCCGAACTCGCCAATCGCACATATCATTATCATTATTATTATTATTGTTATCGTTATTATTGTGCCCAGTGTGTATTGCGGTGTGGCACTGGTGAAATTTATCGTTTTCAAACGGCACTTCCTATGTAGTTCGTTCTCCGTTCGTTTCCGCGCAGATCGCGCGATAACAATAAACGGTGCCCAACAGCGAAACATCGCAATGCACGACGATAATTTTGCATCTGCGGGGTTTTCGCTTCGCGCCCGACCAACTCCGGTGTTTATTATAAAATTATATCTACACGTTTCCCGTACACGTTAAACATCAAACGTTTACGGACATCACGGCTGTCGCGTCGGTAGTGCGAATGTACCTTTGTAGTACTCCGCCATTACCGTTTGTCGAACCGTATCCCTGCAATATTTCCGTTCGTAGGTGTACGCATCGTACCTACGTCGTACGCGACAGAAATAAAAACGGTATTTTTTGATATCCGATTCTCGGCAGTCTCGATACGGTAACACCTTCTACCCAGGTCATTTATACGCCGCCCTGGTACGTCGAACACGAGACGAAACGCCCTTGTAGTACATTTATATTAGCCTAAGCGCATTTCAATATATATATCGTAGTTTTACTCATCACTATATACATTATATACGATTTTTACGTGCATTTAGACTATTTCACATTTTACACACGCGTTGTATAACGTTCGGTACCATAGTAACATTATCCGTACGCATATATATATATATTGTTGTACGCGATAGTGTAATTATAATATTATTTACAATTTACTGATAGGTAGGGTTTGGAACATAATTTATGAGACTATAACCATAATTTGTAATGCTCAATAAAATTTTAAATATTTAGTTTTGTATTACGTATCGAAAATGTCGATTTGTGAACGAAAAAAAATAAAAATATTATGTTTAGCTGTTCTAGCTATACGTTATTGCCGTATTTGTAATGTACACGATAGTATTGCACATGTAACAGCTGTATATTATAATAACCGTCGCGCGTCCTACGCATTAGTGCGCTATAACGTGATATTATTACAAAATATTGTACGTCAATATTATTATTATTATTATTATTACTTTTACGATTATCATTATCATTATAATTATTATTATTATTACATAGTGGTTTTTCCGGATTTTTTTAACGTAATTTTTTGTAGTGGTTTTTTTTACATTTTTTTTAGAAATAAAAAAAAAAACGTTTATAATAAATAATATGTTTAGGTTACGATTTTATATTATTATTATTATTATTATTATTATATAGTTCGTGAAAATCCTTTGACGCGTTTGTAGTGTAAGAACGTTATAGTCATTTGTACACGTAACACTGTGTTGCACAGTTATGATGTGCGGACGACTACTGCAACGCAACGGGTTCGATTACGGTGCACGCACGGCCGCCTCGACAGCAAGACGCGCGAACTACGTGCATTGGTCCCGGGAAACACGACCGAAAACATTTTAAAGACGGAAACCATCGTTACCGGTGCTAAAGCTCGAATCCTTGGGGAAACCGGATAGCGCTGTCCATCGTTTTGTTCGGATATTCCTTGCGTTCTTTTTCCGGAAATCGCGATAATCTGCGGTCGAAGTGGTTTTCTTATGCGTACGATCTCGTTTCCAAGCAATCGCAATAACCTTTTGGTACCGATTGTCCGATGTCGTACTCGAGGATTATCCATCGCTGATTTCTGTCTGAAAATCGGACACCTTACGGTAATTACAAAACAGCGGAGTGGCAGGTGGTTCTGTGAGAACAGCGGTCGGAAATGTGTTTCAGAACATCGCAGAAGCTTAGGACGCCACTGTCCGAGGCCTTGAACTCCTCGTGCGGCACGAGTACAGACTTGCCCGGACTTTCGTCTGCGGTTTCCTTCGCTCTCAGCTCTGCTAGATCGGTTTTTGTAGATCACCAACGGTGTTGCACTCGATCCTCGTTGTTCGTCTCTTCGGTCGTCGAACATCTTGCTAACTACTATCCCCAAGGCCCTACGGATAGTTTCGTTCTACCGGACTCCGAGTCTTAAGTCCTTAGATTTTCGAAAAATCGTTTTTTCCGCTTTAATCACCAGAAACCCGTGTTTTCCGCTAGCCTATCGCTGATGATTTCTAACAACTACTGATAACGTTCATGTGCCTTCAAATAGTGTTCGTCCCGCCCGCACCACTGCATAACCTTCATTTGCCGTTTTTGCTGCAAGAGGCCCCGGTCGTGTGTACATTATAATACGTGTGCGCTGAATGCGGCACAGTCATTATTTTAATTTAGTCTTAGTAACAGTCTAGTCTCGTTTTTTCGTTCGTTTTTGTTTTGTATTGAATTATCCTTTTTACGTGTATTTTCTTGTCATTTTTTGATAATACTATTACTAATATCGTATAGATTTTTATATTTTATTTATTTATTTATTTATTTATTTTTTTTTTTTTTTTTTTGATATGCTTGTAAGATAAAAATTTATATATTTTATTTTATAATTTCGAATAAAAAATACATATTTATGCTGAATGCCTTGTGTAGACCGTCAGGTATAACAAACGCATGCTACTATACTATATATATATATATATATTAATAATATGTATCGTATAAGAATGAAAAAAAAATTAACTCTGAAAAAAAAATATTTAGGATGTTGTAACCGTATAATTTACAAAAATCATTTGTGTGCAATAAAGCGTTCTGTACGTACATATACATTATAATATATATATATATATACGTACGTTTTGTACAGGGTGGGCCGACAAGTTTGTTTCTCGTTTTTTCACGTGTACGATTGTACGAGGAAAAACGAGTCAACATCGCGTCTCGCTCTGTGTTCGGTAGTGTGTATATTAATATATTATGTTATATATGCCTATGTTTGTGCGTATTGTACAACAATTTATGTTCTCTTGGCAATAATAAAGCAATATCATGTGAACTTTTTTTTTTTTTACATTGTTTCCATAATAAACGATTCTAGTAAAAAAAAAAAAAAAAAAAATCTCTTATTTTTTTCTGTATTTACGTTGTACACGTGTGCGGAGGTTTTTTCAGGTGAAAACTCGACTATTGTCGATATGATCCACGCGGGTGGAAGGGCTGCGATGTGGTGGTAGAAAAAAAAAAAGTCGGCTGTGGTTCTTTTGTCGCCGACGAGGACTTTGATCACGGTGTGCGTGCTCTAACCCATGTAAAACTTCTGTCGTACTCTATTTAAATATATATATATATGTATAGATTTATTGTATCAGCTCATTCCGCCGGGGATCGCTCTCGGATTTACTGCGCAGTGCACATAAACGACACGCAGTTTCCAGTTCAAAGCTCCACCTTGGGACAGCTTAGCGGACGGGTTGTCATCTCCATAACAATGGCGAGACCGCGTGTTACCGTCACGCGTGCACCGCGTCCGCCGCAGCCCCGCAAAGTTGCTGCAGGTCCTTTTAAACTCCGATCCTGATTATCGTGCGGTTTACCGCGTGGACTCGGGGATCAAATGTGTATGAATTATTGCGCATCCGCCACCGGTTTTATAACGGTGTAATAATGTAAAATACACAACCCGAACCGCATCCTCCGAAACATAAATCGTCATTACGATGCGTACCAAACGTGATATTTAGGGAGCACTCCTCCCGTTTTCACTGAGAAAAGGCGCACGGCCTTGGTTCGGTGAAAACTTTGTGTTCTTTAATCTGAATCGGTGAATGCGATTTATTTTCAACGCGGTAAACTGAGCGTACAAAATGATGTGGTTTTCGTGATATTTCTCTAGAACATGAACAGACGACTTTATTGTAATAACGATTACGATATGGTTCTTAATAAAAACATTGGTTATCGAATAAACTTTGTAATTATACTAATATAAGTTTATTCTATGACCAATGATAGAAGATTTTTTTATTTATTTTTTTTTTTTATTATTCTCTCGCAACGATTATTCCTCACTGGATCGCAAAAATATCGATTGTGGTCGAATATTATTTATTAATTTCCGT